CACCAAGCATCTATTAAAATGAAATGTACCTAATTTTGTGTATATTGCAATAATATGGAGAATAAAATTGGTGTAACTTTGGAAAGGTTTCTAATTAAGACTGTAAAATGTTAGAAAGACTTAGTTAATACCTTCGCGCGATAAATTATGGTATCCGTAATAGGCGATTGACAAACGTGAAATCCTGATTCCGGAGAGCCACTTTACATAAATAAGATCTAATCGTGAAAAGTGAGTTTCACGCCTATTAGACTATTTAAAATTGCTATGGCGCCACTGGTAGATCGTAATTAAGCATTCTCCTATTCAAGAGTGCCGATTAGCATCATAGAATCTGGCCTTCGTTGTTGCGTATATTTATCGACGCAAGATTATCATAATAGCAGTCTGTAAATCAGGTGACACAACGATATAGCTCGCACTTAAAGTCGTTCAAAATGTCTTTTGTTCCAATTATTATTCTCTCGTACATTTCATTATCAATACAGATACGTACTGAAGACTAATTTTTATATAAATTTCAATCGAAAACTTTAGTATCGTACAGCTCGTAACGACTATAAAATATACCCAACAGATGTTTCGAAATGATTACTATTTAAATGAAGTAAATCGTCGGGTTTGTAAAATATGACGTAAAAATTACTCGGGATTAAATAGCTGCGTGCTCGTGATTCATCGGATGGCATTCCAACATTAGCTTGATGCTCAACGATCTGTTAAATGACCGTTACAGTTACGCCAAGAACCGACGCCTAACTGGTCTATTACAGTCGACATTCATGGGAGTCACTTTTAAAAATAATTTCAGTCATCGAGCGGCAGCTGCTTGGCGGTCGTTACATCAGCTTTCACGGCGATGAAATTATCGTGAATTCGGTTGACGTAACTCGATCGTAGCCTAAACTTATCGTTCTCATGAATGGGATCGAAAAAACAAAGGACGGGGAGGTAATGAACTCCGATTACGGGATCCCGATTAGAGCTGCGCGAGGAACGAAAAATAAAAAGAGGAAGACCTTCTATCAGCCCGAACGCGTCACGTCCGCCTTTAGGTATCTGTTTCTCCTTTCCAGATGACTTTATGGCTGAGTAATTCATTAACGCGACGATAACGTGTATCGCATTTACATTCGACTCGTGGCTATTATTAATGACAGGTTCGAACAAGCATTCTTTTATCCGTATCGCTGTGTTTAATTACAATTGTCGACGGAACTTTTTCCACGGTTCTCTTTTCACGTTCTTCATCGGCTGGTTTCAAAATGAAGGGCTAAGAGAATATAAATCGTGCGTAAATGGATTTTAATTATGAAAAATAAAAATTCGAACTTTCAAGGAACCTTACGTTATTCAGGATTTAAGTAAAGTTTAAAAGATTTCTTAGTAATGTTAAATAAATTCTGTATTGTATTACATTGGTTTTAAAATAAAAATTTGAATTTTAAGGAACCAGTATCTTACGTTATCGAGGATTTAAGTAAAGTTTAAAAGATTATTTAGCAATGTTAAATAAAATATCTATTATATTTGTTTTTAGACTATTTAACCGATTAAAGATAGTATTAATTTTATCAGAAATAAAGTACGAATACCATTGGCATGTTTCTCCTATAAGACTTTGATCAATACGTTCCATTTACGATCTAAATACGACGAACAGGCTTGCATGCATGCAAGCATAACGCTGATGATAAAAAGAACTCTGCTATCAATGGATTAAGTGTTCCAGATTTGTGTACCCCGGTGAAGATGTATGTTTCACTCGAACCAAAGTCATAAAGAGTTTGAATTCTTATTTTCCATAATTGAAATTCGATCCATTTTCAAAGCAATGATCTGTGAAATATATTAAAGCAGAACCACAAAAAAAGAACGGTTACATCGATAATTATAATTAACCACTGTGATATGGATAAGGAATTCTCGTTCTAACATGTCATTAATGATCGAGTTATCTGATTTACTTAAATCTTCAATAACACGAATTGCCAATACATTAAAAATTTTTATTTTCCATAATTGAAATTCGTTTATCTACAATTTACACGCGGTAAAGAAAAAGATGAATTTTTGTTTTACGAAAGTGCACGTTTCCTCGAGATTTACGTAAATAATCGCATTTCTAATGCGAATTTCCACTTAGCTACGGTGCAGATAAGTTGCAGGTCGGATGTTTCGTTCGTATCGTTCTCGTATCTCGTCGACAATGAATTTTTGCTGGCGAACAGAATTCCTGATAGTATCGGCGCTATTTCGCATGCACCTGACACAATACCGATACTTTCGCGAAGGTATTAAATGAGTATCGATTTCGCGCGAACCTATTCCGTAGAAAATAACCATCGACTGACATCGATTCCCTATCACCCCCAATCAACAGCCCACCTTATTCCTTTCGTACCCCCAGACGGAATCGGAAACATCGCGAAGCAAATAAAAAAGAAGACTGGGAAAAAACACAGGGTTTCGCGTTGAACTTAAGATTCTACGTACGCCATCCCCCTAACTTAATTTTGTTTGACCAGTGACCAAGGAATACAAAGCAGTCGGGTACCAAGTTCGAGCAATCGTATGGTCCGGTGGAAAAAGTGATATTTTCTACGAGTAAATTTGTATATTGCAAAATAACAAATTCATCGATTATCGAATATTGCTATGTTTCACGCTGTAATTTTAACAAATGTTGAGGACATCTTTGGACGTGGAAAACTGACGGTTAACGTGTCAATGAAATTTTATTATTAGGTTGTAAAATTTGTATAAATATTCAGACATTTTTTCAACGGGATTAGTTGGTAACAGAGTCGAACTCGAGAAGAAATAGGGAGGTGGATGGAAATCGTAAAAACTATAAGAAGAAGTGGAGATCCGTGTAAGGAAAGGTCATGGAAAGAGAAATGCGAGTGAGAAGATCGGTGAAAAGGGATAGAAAATATTGGATGGATAGGAGTCAAGGTTTCAGGGTGGTCGAGGAACGCATCCTGATTTACGATCGCCGTGTCGAACCCGAAGTGCCCCGTAACTATGTGCAGAACTGACATTGAGTACGTTTGCACCGCTTCTAAGTTCGATTTAGGAACGCTGGTGCTTTACAATTATCGTTTAAACGAGTGTCTGATTACCTGTCAAAGCTCATTCCATTCTATAATGTCGTTGAAACAATTATTACCAAATATAAAATCATACGATGGAACAACGACGACGCTACTAGGCTTTTAAAAGAAACTGTTCAATTGATCTGCAATGGGTATCCTCGAGCTAAATATTTTACTTTCGAAATCTTTTAATATTTAAATTACAGTACCTTGTTATTGATTGACTGTGGAGATAATTGTTAAAGCAAATTTCATAAGCCAGACGGTCATAAATCGAGAACCACCTGTATACGAAACGTTGGTTAGACCTCGTTTGAAATACGCTTACTTGGTTTCCCACATGTTCCAAGTATGAAGTATTGTCGGGGGACAACATAAATTTCTGAGATCTATATCGTATAAAATACACAGACGGTGTATCCTATCTTGATTACATTTCGATATCAAAAAAATTGACTTTGGCAGGTACAGGACGATACTTTGAATCTTCCTAAGATCATTAAGAGATCAGACGTTCACCCTTATAAAGTTAACATTCGCGAGGCACCCTAGACACTTTTGGACAGATCCAATTTTCCACGGCCTAACTTATAAATGTGAGCATAGAGACTCCGTAATCCAGGCAAAGGCATCGTTTCCATTACCAATGCTCGCGAAAATAAATTGGATTTCCTCCGTGCGATCTTGTGTGTTTTATACAAAAGCATTTACAAGCGATTTATTGATGCAACTAAACGAACTTCCAACAAGCTCGAATTAAAAACAATGTAAACTTTCAGAAATCAGCTGCATATACAGGGTGTTCGGCCAACCCTGGGAAAAATTTTAATGGGAGATTCTAGAGGCCAAAATAAGACGAAAATCAAGAATAGTAATTTTTAAATTGAGGCTTCGTTAAAAAGTTATTAACGTTTAAAGTTTCGCTCGCACTGAATTTTTTTCTAGAAAGTCGGTAGGATTTCGGGGGTAGGTCTATTCACAAAAAATTATTGTAATTGACCCCTGCAACTAAAAATAATTTTTCTCGTTCAAAAATCTAGTTTACAATTTACAATGAAACTATAACTCTTGACTTTTCACTATTGAATCAAAACAATCGATTCTCTAATTAAATTTGATCGAGGTCACGGAAAATAACTACTAAGACAAATGTCAAGTTATGGACTTCAAAAAATTGTTTAAAATAATTGTTGTGGCTCGGTAAAAAATTTTATTTGTCACTGAGCGTGTTTCAACGCGAGTCTGTGGTACCACCCTCGATATCTCTACACGTTGAACGTCGAAATAAATCCCAGAGCCATTTCGGGGGGGTGGTAACCCGGTACGTAGGCGCGTTTCGGTGAATCGAACCGTGAAAACGTAGTTGCGTGCAGGAGATCCGTCCTCGCGGCGTAGGGTTCGCTCGGGCGACAAAGAGAAAGAAAAAGTCACGTGCAATTCGTAGTGGCGGGCATCGGTGAAACCGTATTTGACCGGCGGCCGCAAGATGGCGACGCTCTGCCCGGCGCCGGGCGTCGCGTCGGTGGCAGTCGCAAGGACGACGCCGTCGCCGCCACGTGGGGAGCGAATTTGAATCGGCCGCCACCGGCATAAACCACGGAGAAGAGCGTGTGTCGCCAGCACCGATCCTCGAGCGTTTCATCCCCGACCGTGTCAGGGGTGACGATCGTCGAAAGATAAGATACGCGGTAGCCTCGAAGCGGTCAGGGTCGTCGTTATCAAAGTAAACCTGGTGGCGAAGGAAAGGGTAGAACGGAGAGTGCCTAGATCAGCGTCACGACGTCTAGCACACGACGTCCAGGCGGCAGCCGCGGAGTAGGAGGAGGCTAGGAGGGAGAAAAATCGAGAAGGAAGCGGCAAGTGTCACGAAGGGACTGTTGTCAGTGAGTGGTGGACCGTGGAGGCGATTGGGCTGTCAGACGCGTGTCGAGTAGCGTGTAAAAACCGGGCTCGGATAGCGAGATCGTCGCCTCGATACCGGAAGTACGTTGACCTTCACGAGTGACCTTGGAAATTGGCGCCACCGTCGGCCCCTTTGACTGGACATCGAAAATCGAGCGGCTACCCCGAGCAGGGCTCCGCGTTTCCTCCTCGGAGTTCGATCGCCGATCCGAGATCGGTGGACGTTGTTCCGGTGATCGCGAGTGAAGTTTTACTCCGGGTGTTCTGTCGGGTTCTGTAACTGTCGCGTCGGTGGGATACGAGGAGCGACTGGTTTCGAGGGAGGAACGCCGTGGAGAAGCTTAACCACCTGTCAAAGCCGATGGAGTGACCCAACATGCGGCCTAAGTAAGTCGAGACTGTTTATCGGGGAGATGCGGGGACTCGAGGAATTCAGGCTCCGGTGATCGGTTTGGTAGAGATTCGTTTGTTAGATTGGGAAGAAACACCTTTGGAAGAATATATTAGGGGTAGGAGATTTCTTAGTCTATTCGATCATGACTAAAACAGAGAGAACACAACTGTATACGTAGACAGAAGTGGACAGAAACGATCACAAAATTGTAATAAACTCGTGAACCGATAACAGAACTAAGAGAAAAATGAGGAATTCAGTATAGAAAACTTTAGATCTCGAAGATCTAAGAAGTCTGCGCAAGGGATGAAAGATTCAAAGAATTTTTTTTATTTATTTTTCCTTTGCAACTGCAACAGACTCGGAGCCTTCCAGTAATTTTGATAAATGAAGTAATGTCGCGAGCACAGTCTCCTTTCTTTCTCCTCTGATTTCCTTGTGGAGGTTATTGGTCAGTCATTAGATCATTTGGTTTAGTTCTTTTAAGTCTCCTTGTATTATCATTATCGTTGAGTACTTCCAGTTCATTGGAATGTGATTGCAGTCTATTTTTGTGCGATTTGGCATACTGTTTTACATAGTCTCGTACTTATAAGTTCTGTTTAGATCTTTGCGTGGACTTTCGTTGATGACGAATCATGGAGCAGCTGTAATTGTTCTAAGAGCTTTGAATTATATCTATGTTAGATTTTTTCGCACAGTCCCACAGCTGAATTCCGTACATCCAGATTGATATCATTTTACGTAATTTAATGTCCACTTGTTTCCATCCAAAGAATTGCAGAATATCATAATCGTGGTTAGAGAATGGGGTGAATTAGAACGAAGGGAAATACGCGGAGGAGTTCGCATCGGAAAAAGGCGTTCGTAAAAAGGGGAGTCCAGATTAAAGTTCGAAACTGGAAAGTCGGTCAACGAACAAAAAAGTGGTGTTAACGTCGCGTTATTTCCGAAGTATCTCGATTATTCGACGCGGCGAACTTTGAAGGGAATGCAAGACTCGCGAGCAGATCTTGACACTGTGAGCTCGTAATCGATATGGATATTGTAATTAGGTGCGCGTGGAGGAATACATCGTGTATTTTTTCTCCGTGGAATTAATTCACAGTATGTATGAAATGAGGCGTAATTGCGAAGAGCATCGTAACATTGTAGAAAACGCGTAACTTTAATCTTGGAATAATATAGATTGGTATTATAGCATTTCCAATATTTTTGTATGTTCCAGAATGTAACACAGAATTCGTAAACTGTAAGACACGAAGTCAATTAAATTGTCGAGGTTTAAAATATTCAGAAATTAAATAAATGAAAGCAAGAAAGTATAAACCTTCTTAATAATATTGTTAACCCTTTGACGTACGATTTAATGTGATTTTTCAAAGGTATAGTATTCAATTTGATTTAAATTTGTTCGTATAAGGAATGGCCACGAAAAAGAATAAATTTGCTTTATGAACATCTCGTCAATGTAAAAATGAAGAAGTTAAGAACATAAAAACATTATTTATGTAGTCGACAATCAAATTGAGACTCAATTAGATTTCAAGAATACAAAAACATGCTGCAATTCATTCAATTTTACCCTTTCGACTGTTCAATAACGATTCCTAAGAGAAAATATTTTGATATCCCTTAATTTGCAAATACCAGACTTGGTGTAACGCGTGTAGATTTCACTTTTAAAATAAAATAAGAAATAAAGAATTTTTTAACGCGTTCGTGTTATCGAAGTCTCGGTCCAGAGCAGTGTTTCTTTGCCTCGTGAGAAATTCGACTCCCAGCTCGGAGATTGTTTTCCACGAAGTCTCGAATTTATGGACAATTACTTCTTGGATCGCGGATTCGAGGGCAATCTTTATGGTTCGATGCAGTACGAAAGAAGCAGTTGAGCCAGCTTGGGAGCCCGATAGTCTCAGGGAAGCTGAATTAAAGGGGTAAACGAGGGTGGCAGCCACAGGTAGGCCGGTAACCGGCCGAGGGATTGAAACGCCACTTGGCTGATATCGTCCTCTCGCCTTTTAACGTTTTCCATCCCCGTCGTTCGCGACGACAGGGATTTTTCGTGGTCGCAAGGAACACGGTTGGTAACGAGGCTTTTGTGCGGAGGAAATCGAGGAGTCGTTCGTTCCGTCGAAAATGGAATTCGCGAGCAGCTTTTTATTTAGAACGGAGGCGACCAAATGCTTTTTCGCGCTGGTCGTTGACCTCGAAATCGTTGTTTACCGCGTTCCCCGGCGATGTTTGACGTTATTGTTCCGCGTCACGGTGTTTTCGTTATTCGGTTTTCGATTCGCGTTTCGCTCCCGCACGCGAACAGTTTTGACAGTCGTCGACGAATTGCAAATTTCACCGACGCTCGAAGAATCCCGGGACCTTCGATTTACATTTTACCGAGCGGTAAATTATTTCCTTTTTTTTTTCCACGTTCCTTTATCCGAGAGAATTAAATTTTTAGTTCGAGCGCGTCGCGTCCGCAAAGGATTGATATTTTAAATGGATTTTTTTCGTCGTTCGATTCGTAAAATCCATAGTCCACCGATTGAATTTTAGGGAAAGGCAGAAACGTTCTTTCATGTTTCGCTGTCGATTATACAAGCTATTAAATATTCAGTCGCGATTCTCGATAACCGGATTTGCTCCCTGGGCACCCATTTCTGGGTCTAAAATCTCTCCGCGTTCATGTATCGTTCCAGCGGAAATTCAGTCGTCTGTAATAATCTGGCCAGGTACATTTCCATGAACGACTTAGCCACGACCCCGCCGAAGTATCTCAATTCCGTCGATGGTCGCCTTAAATCGTTTACGTTTATTCAACGTTTGTCGGAGATTACGCCCGCTACGGCGGAGGATTATCGTTTCCACCTATCGATCGAGTACATTACTACAGGCGAGATAAATAAATTTTTCTTTTCATTCGTAATAACAGTCAAGTTCGAACCGCTGCAAATTGCCTTAAAAATTAACGGATCACCAGAGAACAAGATCAATTTATTAATTCACCGATAACGCTTTAAAAGGAAAAAGTCGGTGATTTATGGCGCGATTAAAGGATACCTGGTGGCTGGAATGGCCAGCACGAGGTCTAACAATGCGGCCATGTTTCGACCAACGCGCTCTGGTCACACTTATTTGCATTATTCCCTGTCGTTAATGTTTCGTACGCGTATAAAAAGGTGGGGTCGAGGGGGGGAAAAAAGGGTGAAACATCGTAACGCGATGCATCGTAGGTGCATTACGCGATACCGTATTAATCCCGGGGACCGAAAGAGCCCCGGAGGTGGCGTTCGCACTTGCCGTGTTTTCGGTCCAGCGACATAACTCAGCGCTCGCGTTGCTCTTTTTCGAATTCCCCGGCCACGGGGCCACCCTACGAGCCACCATCCCGGAGCAAGAGAAAGAGTGACACGCGTTGATGGGGGAGAGAAGGGTGGAAACACACGCGCCACGTGACGGCCGCGTGTTAATCCGCGCGGAGTGTATTTACGAGTTCGCTCGCATTCGGCGCACGTGTGCCGCCGCCAGCTTTCACGGAAAGCTCGTAAGCGTAACGCGGAATACCGTGTTGCGCGTTGTTCTACACGGAACCGAAGATAAAATCTACGAACGCGTCGTTCCCGAGGAGATCCACCGACCGTCCTACCCGGGATACGATCCTACGATCCGTTGCAGTAGCGATCCCGATAACACCGAGATTCTTAACCCCTTCCTGCTCGTATCCGGACCTGCGCGAACGTTCATTTCTCGGTTCTTGCTTTGGGGAGTCGTGTACAGGATGGTACACTCAACCTGATCATCTTACATATTGAGATATCTCGTGGGGTGGTGTTGTCTTGAGCTTCGAGAGGATCTCAGATTCTTGACCCCCTTTGTGCTCAAACCTAGGCAAACTGGACATTGTTTCCTTCTTTTAACCTCTTCCTTGGCTAGGAGTTGTATACATAGAATCGTGATAGATAGGTATACCTTAAATATTAGGTCACCTCATATACTTGTGCTGGTCTGAGGTTTGAGAGCATCCATTACAATAGGAATCAGAAATCTTCAAACCTAGATGCATCATTCAGCAGTGATTCCTTATTTTAATCTCTTCTTTAATTGGGAGTTGTACATAGAAAGTCCCATTTAACTGGTGTACCTTAAATATAAGGCCACTCTATAAGTTTGTGCTGTTTTGAGGTTTCAGAGAATCCGTTGCAATAGCAATCAGAAATCTTGAAATCCAGATGCATTCAGCAGTGATTCCTTCCTTTAATTTCTTTCCTGTTTTGTTATTGTGTACAGAGAGTCCCATTTAATTAGTGTACCTTAAATATAAGGCCACTCTATAAGTTTGTGCTGTTTTGAGGTTTCAGAGAATCCGTTGCAATAGCAATCAGAAATCTTGAAATCCAGATGCATTCAGGAGTGATTCCTTCCTTTAATTTCTTTCCTGTTTTGTTATTGTGTACAGAGAGTCCCATTTAACTGGTAAACCTTAAATATTAAGTCACCCCCCCATAAATTTGTGCTGTTCCAAGGTCCTAAAGGGTCCGTTGCAGTAATCTTAACCCCCTCGTGTTGAAACCTAGACGCACTAGAATATTATTTCTCTCTTTTAACCCATTTCTTGTCTGGAAGTCGTGTAGAGAGTGTCCCACTTAACCGGAGCACCTTAAATACCTCCGTTGAATAGAAAGAAATGTCAAAGGAGAGAGCACGTTTGGCTCGAAGGGGCATACGTTGCGACTTGCGTCGATGTTTCTTCAACCCTTGGTCGACCGACCTTCAGCCATGACGCAAAAAGCCAACCCTGAGCGAGGAAAGCATTAATACGATCTAAACTACTAATGAGTCTGTCGCGTAAAATTGAGGCTTCGTTTTTGAGGTTATTGAATCTGAAAATTTGTTGGATCGAACACTCTATTGCAATTAATCTTTAACACTTTGACTGCCACGTCACCCATATAGGGGTGACAGGATTTACCATTATGATACTAGAAAAATTAATTCT